GATGAACGAGGCACGAAAATCACGTTGATATCACCGTTCAACCTCGGAACTGCTTTATTAGTCGTTCTCTCCTCGAATAAGTAATTCACGAAAGATTCACCTTTTCAATTTCTCCCTCTTCTTCCTTTTTCCACTCTTTCGGGAGATTCGTGCGTGAAATGAAGTCACGATGAATGGAGACGATTTTCCGGGTTTTTAACGACCTGCCTTTGGGAATTAAAGAGGAGTCTGATATCCGCGCCTAATGACCCACAAACTCCTCCTCGTGTTTGCATACACGGGGTGCTTCGTTCATTAACGAACACCTCGATCGTTTCTCTAGCCACTGAAAGCGAGAGATAATGAAAAAGTTTCTCGGTAATAGAAAAATGGCTCGACGTTCGTTTCAAAAATTAGCCCAAGATCGTCAGCTTTCCTCGCGTATTATCGCCTATTTTTCGTAATTCCACGTTAATGGAATAATGCGTAATTCAAGACGAGTTCGACGAAAAAGCCTCGCGCATTGTCTTCTATTTTTCATGATTCCACGTTAGAGCCATCGAGATAATTTGGTCCGGCCTTCGACTCGGAGACAGCTCTGCGTGTTCGCACAAGGTAGCGACATGAACTTGTTAATCACGACAGAAAGGGCGTAGGACGCGTTTTCGCGTCGCTGAAAGCTCGCGAGCATCGTCGCGGCTCGTGATTGGCCGCGTGCACAGTGCTCGCGAGGATCAGAGGACGTCGTTGGGCTTTACGCGAAATTCGAAGCTCTCCGCTTTCTCTTTCCACGAGAATCGAACGCGGCTTCTGCCTCTTCGTTAGCGCACAGGAAGCGGGTAAGGGTGATTTGGAGAGGCGAATCGATGCCCTTTTCCCTTTAAGGGGTAGCTCGGTTATAATTAACGAGATCCTCGAGAACGCTTGTTGCGTAGGGAGATTCGATTTCGAGGGTAGAGTGGAGATTAAGGTTCGCGTGGAATTTAGAAATGCAAATTGTGCAAGTTTCTCGGATTTTTCTGCTAGGAGAGGGAGGATTTTTTTCTGGGTTATGAATTTCGAACGGTGACCTGTTCTCGTTTCGAGAACCATTCAGAGGGTCAAATTTTCCGCAATTTTCGCATTTTTTGCAAGATTTGCGTGCTTCTGCGTTTTAGTATATCTCCAACTACTCGTTCACACTTTGGTGAAATATTTTTGATCCCTTCTTGGGGACGACAATTCACCCTTTGATCTGTGACAACGTGTCAGACTCGTGACGGAGATGTTGTACTCCCAACTGTAATCCCAACTTTCGTTTTAATTTCTAACACTGAGGATTAGCCTTTGTTAGCTGGTGCAGTAGTAAAACAGTAGTAAATGGCTTGCATGCATAGTCGCAAGAGAAATCGTAGGTTAAGGGGTTAAAAAGACGATGTTCAGCGATAAGATTGCATATTTTGTTGCGTTTGAAAACACTTCAAAATACCACAGTGTTTTAATATGTCTACTGTCTTGAAACTTTTACGAACGAAGGATATCTCCAACTACTCGTTCACACTTTGATGGAATATTTTTGAATCCCTTCTTGGGGACGACAATTCACCCTTTGATCTGTGACAGCGTGTCAGACTCGTGACGGAGATGTTGATGTGAGACAAATTAAAAATAGTTGTATCAGTAAGGAAAATGAACTGTAATCCCAACTTTCGTTTTAATTTCTAACACTGAGGATTAGCCTTTGTTAGCTGGTGCAGTAGTAAAACAGTAAATGGCTAGCATGCATAGTCGCAAGAGAAATCGTAGGTTAAGGGGTTAAAAAAACGATGTTCAGCGATAAGATTGCATATTTTGTTGCGTTTGAAATAAAATACCACAGTGTTTTAGTATGTCTACTGTCTTGAAACTTTTACGAACGAAGGATATCTCCAACTACTCGTTCACACTTTGATGGAATATTTTTGAATCCCTTCTTGGGGACGACAATTCACCCTTTGATCTGTGACAGCGTGTCAGACTCGTGACGGAGATGTTGATGTGAGACAAATTAAAAATAGTTGTATCAGTAAGGAAAATGAACTGTAATCCCAACTTTCGTTTTAATTTCTAACACTGAGGATTAGCCTTTGTTAGCTGGTGCAGTAGTAAAACAGTAAATGGCTAGCATGCATAGTCGCAAGAGAAATCGTAGGTTAAGGGGTTAAAAAGACGATGTTCAGCGATAAGATTGCATATTTTGTTGCGTTTGAAATAAAATACCACAGTGTTTTAGTATGTCTACTGTCTTGAAACTTTTACGAACGAAGGATATCTCCAACTACTCGTTCACACTTTGGTGAAATATTTTTGATCCCTTCTTGGGGACGACAATTCACCCTTTGATCTGTGACAACGTGTCAGACTCGTGACGGAGATGTTGTACTCCCAACTGTAATCTCAACTTTCGTTTTAATTTCTAACACTGAGGATTAGCCTTTGTTAGCTGGTGCAGTAGTAAAACAGTAGTAAATGGCTTGCATGCATAGTCGCAAGAGAAATCGTAGGTTAAGGGGTTAAAAAGACGATGTTCAGCGATAAGATTGCATATTTTGTTGCGTTTGAAATAAAATACCACAGTGTTTTAGTATGTCTACTGTCTTGAAACTTTTACGAACGAAGGATATCTCCAACTACTCGTTCACACTTTGATGGAATATTTTTGAATCCCTTCTTGGGGACGACAATTCACCCTTTGATCTGTGACAACGTGTCAGACTCGTGACGGAGATGTTGTACTCCCAACTGTAATCCCAACTTTCGTTTTAATTTCTAACACTGAGGATTAGCCTTTGTTAGCTGGTGCTAGTAAAACAGTAAATGGCTGACACTTGCATGCATAATCGCAAGAGAAATCGTAGGTTAAGGGGTTAAAAAACGATGTTCAGCGATAAGATTGCATATTTTGTTGCGTTTGAAATAAAATACCACAGTGTTTTAGTATGTCTACTGTCTTGAAACTTTTACGAACGAAGGATATCTCCAACTACTCGTTCACACTTTGATGGAATATTTTTGAATCCCTTTTTGGGTACGACAATTAACCCTTTCACCGTGGATTAAAAAGACGACGTTCGACAATAAAATTGCATACTTGCACTTCACAATACATGCACTCCTTGTGTGGTATATTTTAGAACAAAAATATTTTTGAATCCCTTTTTGGGTACGACAATTAACCCTTTCACCGTGGATTAAAAAGACGACGTTCGGCAATAAAATTGCATACTTGCACTTCACAATACATGCACTCCTTGTGTGGTATATTTTAGAACAAGGAATACACAGTCCTATGTCGTTGTCAGGGCAGTGCGAGTACCACAGACCTTTCAACAAAAGCTCCCCAGATTTTCCTCCAATCGTTCGGAAGAAAATATTTCCTTCAACCTTCCTCAATTCCCCAAACTATCTCCAAACATCCCCTGTCCTCGCTCTAACCTACCTAAAAATTTCTAAAACTACCGCGCACCGTAATTTCCCTCCCGGAATCAATTCCACTCTTTTCCAAACGATCGATCAAGTTCTTCAAGGATACCTTAGAACCTCCCGAAGAGTATCGCGAAGCTTCCTTAATCCTCTGCTTGGTGTACCGTTCCAGGGAAACAATCGCGAAGCGCGGTTCATCGGCCGGCGAATCCGCGATCCCGCGAAGATAGGATTTCCTAACGCGAATTAGATTTTTTTCGCTCGCTCGTCGCCGCGGTGGGAGAGGAAACACGAAATAACGGGAGGTGGTTACAATGCGAGCGCGACAGATAAAGGAGACGCGGCGAGAGACCGCTCGGAGCTTGCTCTCGCGTTTTAATTGGCAACCGTAATGAAATATAACGATGGTGCACCGTTCGACCGGCGTTCGTAGAGAAGGCTGGAGCAGGTAATCGTTGATTGTCTGTTGCGGTTGCTTGTGTTCGAGGGAGAGTGTCCAGAGCCATGATTTCTTTGAGAAAAGGACGTTGAGGAACGTGGAAATAGTGTGTTTCTCTGTGGGATTTTTGTTTGGGAGGAAAGTGAACGATTATTGGAGAAAGTTGGAGAATATAGCTTGAAATGTGTACTTGTTGAAGAAATCGGGAGGAAAGTTGACGTTTTTGTCGAATCTTCGATTATCGAAAAGGGGAGATTCTTTGATTTTGAGGTATCGAAGAATTCAACCCTGTCGACATTTTTCTAAAAATAATTATATTTTATAATTCGATAATTATTGTATTCTATAATTATTTCTCTATCAT